AGAGGACCAACGATTATAGGCCAGCAAGAGGAAAGATAATAGCTTGGGTATCTCTTCTTGTCAGTGCATTCATCAGAGAACAAAGTGGATTTGGGAGGGAAATAGATGCTATGTATGAAAATCAAAGACATATTTAACAGTTATTTAATTTTGTATTGGCTCTACTCTATCCCCAACAGGTGAAGTTTATAAACTAGGGGATCCATTGAAGTGCCTAAGAGGAAACAGCTAGGAAGAGGACTTTGAGGGATGTCTCGTTTCTTGTGTTTCTATCCCCCAAGTTTAGTACAATTCCTAGTACACAGTAAACACTTAAAAATGTTAACATTCATTCATTCATTTGTTCACTCATATTGTCTCCATAAATGCCAACAGTTCATATTACTATTAGCTCAACCTGTCAGTTGCCTGTGGTGACTACTCCTAACTCCTAACTCCTAACTTATTGATCTTCCTAGGCTAGATTGGCCCATGAATCAGATCTAAAAGTTTCCCAGGGGCCCATTAGCTATTTGATTCTCCTTTCCAAAATGGGAAGCCCAAGAAATGAATCATCACATGGCTTTAGACCCACATCTCTAGAACCTGAGTATTGCTGATTTGACCACCTCCTGTTTTTCTGATGACATCGAAATTCACAAAATTTAGTAAGGCCTATCCAAACTTATGTAGTGCTCTTCAAGGAGTTAAGTGACTTGTTCATGAGCACAAAGCTAGAAAGTATCTGGAGTGTTATTCAAATCCATGTCTCCTATCTCTATATCACATCTATTCACTGTACCTAGCTCTCATTACAAAGATGAGGAAATGGTTTACCACACATTATCTTTGCTTTCCCTTTTATGTGGTCCTTTGTTCAATGTTGTTAGAATGTTTGAGGTTTCTGAGAGCAAAAAATCTTGTTCCCAGCATGCCTTCTATCATCTCTCTGGACTTGGATTCACCCTAACATAACATTCATCCCAAGAAAGATGGTGTGGATATAACACAAATATTACTGAGTCCTTATCTACCATCTATCCATATGCATATATAGATCCAAACATCCTTAAGCAAGAAGGAAATAAGAACACATGATTTGCAAGAGCATCACCCAGCATCTCTTATCTACTTTTCCCTCCCCATTTTCTCCCCTACGCCATTTGGCATTTCTTTCCCTATCACTCTCCCTTTCCCCACTTGTACACTTTATCTCTTCTTGGGCCCCTGTTTTCCAAGAAGACATAAAAGGAAGCAACTTTGATTAGCTCCCTTTGGTTGACCAAATCGGCTCACACAAATTGTTAAGCTTTGTCTGTAAATGAACATTATAAACATCTCACCTCGGATGACTCCAGGAAAATCAGAAATGAATCTCTCTATCCTCCTTACCCACCAATATCATAATGATCAGGACCTTGTTCTTTAAAGCAAGACATCATCCCCAAATGAGCTCTATTTTTGCTTTTGTAAGTAAAGATCATGTCCACAATGGGAACATGTCTACAATGGCGAGATGCCACTGGTTAGGTCATGAACATGTTGGAAAGAAGTCAATCAGCAAGCATTATTAAGAGTCTGCAATGTGTCAGACACTGTGCTAAATAGGGAGGATACCAAGAAAAAGCAAACACAGTCACTGCCTCAAGGAGCTTACACTCTTGTGGGAGTGTACATAACATGTACACAACATGTACATAAATAGGTGCACACAAGATAGATTCAGAGGAGATGGAAAGTGACCCTAGAGGGGACAGCACTAACTGTTGGGGGGAGGAGAGAAACCAGGAAAAGTCTCATGCAGAAGATGGCATTTGAGTTGGGTCTTACAGAAAGTCAAGGATTCTAAGAGGTGGAGGTGAAGAAAGAGAGCATGCCAGGCATGGGGGACACTCAATATAAAGGCACAGAGGTAAGAGACGAGGTGTTATGCGTGAGGACCAGCAAGCTGGCCAGTATAGCTGGACCATAGAGTTTGTGAAGGGGCATAATGTATAAGAAGACTCAAACGGCAGAAAGTGACCAGGTTGTGAGACCTTCCAGTGCCAAAGGAGTTTATATTTGATCCCACAGATAGTAAGATACCACTGACGTTTACTGAGTGGGGGTCGGGGGCAGGTGTCCTGGTCAGACTGGTGCCATAGACAAATGACTTTTAACAGCTGTTTAGAGGATAGATTGATATGGGGAGAGACATGAAGCAGAGAGACCAGTTAGAAGGCCATTGCAATAGTCCATGGGGAGATCTCAATGACAAGCCCTAACAACTGGTCAAATATATGCAGTGAGTGAAAGTGACAAACCAAGGACAAAACCAAAGTTTCCATCTTGAGTGACTGGGAGGTTGGTGCTACGGTTTGCCAGTAAGAGAGAAGTTCAGCCAGGGAGTAGGATCAACAAGCGAGCTGTATTTAGTTTTAGATGAAAACACAGAAAGAAAAAAGGCAGATGAATTAGTAGCTGGTGTTTATGTTGTGTTTTATGTTAATTATCTCAAAGGGCTTTAGAAATTATCTCTTTAATCTCTTCATTTTGCATATGAGGAAACTGAGGGTGACAGAGGTCATGACTTTTCTAAGGTCACACAATAAGTAAATGAGCCATGATTCATCCCTGGTTCTCTTCTCCCAAATAAAAGCCTCTTTAAATATACTACTCTGCCTCCATCAATCAACAAGTCTTTTTTAAGTACATACTATGTGCCAGGCACTAAGATAGACCCAGGGATTTCAAGACACAAATGGACTAAATCCTGCTCTAAAGGAACTTATATTTTCTTGAGTAAACAGCATGCACATTCTAAGAGTATTTAAAATAAATGCAAGAAAACTTAAGCAAAAGGAGACACTTGCATTTGGAGGAAGTCAAGCTTTACTAGAATTATAGTAATGATGATAATAATAGCTGATAGTTACAAAGTGCTTTGAGGTTCTCAAAATACCGGACATACTTGTTAGCATCAGTGGGTCAGGCGCCATGTCATATTTATATTTATATCTTCCAGAGGGTCTATCACAGTTCTATGAATGTCATAAGCATTCAATTAATGTTTGAGAAAGGAAGGGGAGGAATAAGAATAAGATTAGAGAAGGAGGAAAAGAGAGATAAATAGGTTGAAAGTTCAAACAGATAAGCTGCATTTTCCAGAAAGAAACTTCACAGTCACCAAGGTGACCTACTAAAATTTTTAGCTTGAGAATAGGCATTTGAACCCTCTGGCACTCAGAAGGTGGCATTTTCCATCAAAGTATGTGATGCATGTATTTTGGTAGGGAGATGACTCTGCAGCCATGTCTTTCTATCACTCTCTAAAGGACAACCTTAGCTGGGATGTTGCCTATTCAGACTTAGGTATTTGACAGGCACCCAAGAAAAGGGGCCAATGCTGAGAACATCAGTGTCATTCAATGACAGAAAAGAAAGCAAAAGAATGGATTAAATCAGTGTTTGTGGTAGGTGTGCTTGCTATGCCCAACACTATGCTAGTTCTGTGGAAAAGATGGAAATATAACAAGTGATCTCCAAACTCAAGATCTTAGTTTTGTTAGGGAGAGAAAGCAAATGCTAATGGAATGATTCATGAACAACACAAGGCAGTAGGCCCAGCATACACTATTATAGCAGATAACTTTTTCAATTTAAAAACATCATGGAAATACATTTGCTCTGAAAATCACCAACCATTTTCTATCTTGTCCCTCTACAATTTATCCTTGTTCAGGTCATATATATAGTACCAAGATCTGTCCCTTTCTTAGTCTTCTTTCAGGATTTTCTACTCTCAATATTTATGTTTGCTATTAATACAGGTATGCAATTTTGAACAAGCTCACCTACTTGATTTATGAAATAAATTGTATTGGGCCTAGAAAAATTGAACTGTAGGGAAATGACAAGTTTCATTACAAATAGAAAATATAATACATCTCTTTCCCTTACTACTCCCTCACCATACAAACACACACACACACACACACACACACATTATCCAAACTCTCATCTTTCTTCTATCTATTCACCCCTGTCGTCAAGGGCCTGGTGTCATGATTCCTTAAGCTACCATTGTTCTCTGGAATCAGAGATGTCAGCATCTTGAGTTCTTCACAGCCAACATATGAATGCCCCATGGGAGGTAAACACGTCCATTCTTAGTTGGTAAAAATCACACCCACCATGTAATCATATGCTGTAGTAGTTGGCTTTACAAGAGATAGAAAGAATGTGAGCATGTCAGTAAGTACATGGCCATAATCCCTTAGGTTACATGGCTTGAGGTACCTTCCCAGCTGCTGTACCTTTTGGAAGTAATTAATGTTAACTTGTGAAAACTGCAAGAAATATCTCTGATCCAAATGATCTAATTCTGGTAACTGGTCTCAGTGTCCATAAAATATTCCTATGTATTAGTAGATTAAAAGAACTTCACAAAAAACACATTTATAATGACAGAAGTTGATGCCTTATTGCCATATAGAGGAGAACTCTTGAATTAGAGACAGCTTTTTGGAGATTGGTTTGAAGATAAGGTAGGACTTGATGTGTACAGGAACAGGAGTGTGGAAATGGTTTCCCAAATGGGGAACACAGAGCAGAAGGACTTGCTGAGTCGTTTCATCTTCTCTACAAGCAGTGATATATGGAAACTTCAAACACTCCAAAAGAGAAAAAGGATATTGTTTTGCAACACCCTGAAGTGTTACTTCCTTTGGGTTTTCACCAAGGTATAGTTTCTGAGTCTGTCTCTGCTTGAGGGGAGAGTAGATGAGAGTGGGAGTGGTATTCCATAGTCTCCTCCTCCTCCTCGGGAAAAATTTCTAGTCACTGCTTTTATTGACAGACATTTCATGGTATCTTTTCCTATCTGAGAAAGCTACAAAAAAAAAACAAACCAAAAAACAACAAAAAAAAAAACGCTTGGTAATATTCATCTCTTTCTTTCTTTCTCCCTCCCTCCCCTTCTTTTTCCTCTTCCTTCCCTACTCCTTTCCTTATCCCTAATCCCACCCCACCTTGTCCTCTAGGAACCTTCTGCATCATTTCACTGTGCACCTGTGTGGCCGGGATCAACTTCGAGCTATCACGCTACCCACGCAACCTGTATGGACTACCTGATGATATTAGTCATGGCTATGGATGGTCCATGTTCTGTGCGTGGGGGGGCCTGGGCCTCACGCTTATCTCGGGCTTCTTCTGCACCTTGGCCCCTTCTGTCCAACCTGTCCCCAGGACCAACTGCCCCAAAACCAGACCTGAAAATGGGACAGTGTGCTAAAAAACAAAAACAAAAACAAAACCCCCATATATATATATAAATATATATATATAATATACATATATAAAACAGAAACTAAAGCAAGATGGTGCCAGTGCCAAGAGAGCATTGAGTTGGCTCAGGCACCCATGTCTTCACAGAACTTTATGTTGCTTCATCCTTTCTCACTAAGATGGGGAAAACTTTGTTGTCATACGGCTCTTCCATCAATTCTTAACTTATGGCTTCATGATTTTTTGAAGGTTGAGTGAACATGCTCACTTGCAGTTGAATCACACTTACTGCCACTAGTGAGGATGGGTCGGTGAGCTGGGAAGGGACAGTGGCAAATGTTTGAAGTAGCACAGCAAGTAGGGAATACAGGCCATCAATTGGACCAACATGAGAAGAACCCACCACCCACCAATATTAATGCGAAGAAACAAAACCCTTAGTTCACCTGTAGAATGTAACCAACTCTTTGAGGCCATTTTCAAAACCATCTCTTCTCCCAATGCTCCTGATCTTATTCCCCAACTGCCCCACCAGCTCCACACCAGAATTGGAAAAGAAAACAAACTGAGCTGGAAGTTTTCTCTTTGCTTGCCAAACTTTTGGATGAAAAAAAGAGGGGAGGGGAAGGGGGAAGAGACCAACAACCTTGAGAGATGATATCTGCATCGATACGAGGACACTTCTGTGGATGCTCAGACAACCCAGTCTTATCTTCCAGCTGCCTTACATCCAGGTTAAACAGAGGCTGCCCTGCCCCCACCCCCATCTTCTGGGCAGACAGGGGCCTTTGAGAAATGCTGTGATACATGTGTGTGTATAACTTTTCTGATGGGTTTTTTTTCTTTTCAAACTGAAATATTGCAGTATGACTGTAGTCTATAAGTTGTGCTGATATCTTGGCCCAGGCACAAGGGTCTGGAAAAAGTAGAGAGGAGGTGAGCTTGTATGGGTGCCAATTCTGCAACTGTAGATTATTGGGGTGTGTGTATGTGTGTGTGTGTGTGTGTGTGTGTGTGTGTGTGAGAGAGAAAGAGAGAGAGAGAGAGAATACGTGTGTATGTGTGTATTACTGAGGTATTATCAATTGATTTCAGTTTTTCTATTATTTTAAAAATAGCTCAAAATTCCAGATGGCAGAATCAAGACAACCATTCAGATAGGGGATCCTATGGTTCTGCACATTACTGGGGACTGTGTGGGAGTAGTCTTCTTAATTTTGGAAGTTCAAGACACAGCTGGGCAAAAAGCCATTACAGAATGAGAAAGGGGAACAAAGTTTCGGGGGAAGAAAGAATGGTGCTTTTGGTTGATGTATGCTAAACAAGATCTTTCTACTCCCCATCAATGGTAACTCCTGTTTCATTGGGTATCTCTTCCTTCTATATCAGTTCAATTTCTGAAAAGATGAAAGAAGATAGGATATGTGCAGAGAAAGAGAATCCATTTTCCATGGGTTCAAGTTTGTATGATATTGTTGTAAATCAACCTGGAACTTTTTACTCTTTCCATCTTTTCCTCTCTCCCTCTCCGTCTCTCCCTCTTCTTCCTTTTATTTCCAATCTTCAAGGTCGTGAATCCCAGAGTAGCTGACTTGGCTGCTGACACCCAAGTGGAAGAAGGATAAATCCACCACAGTATCTTGGAATTGATTTGAGCAAATTGACACTGAGGTAGCTGGAGGAGCCAGGAAGTGAACAAGGCAGGCACGAAGCCATGAGATTAGGAGTCTGCCAAAGAGAATAGGAAAAGAGCACTTACCAGAGCCTACCATGTAGAGAGCACTATGCTGTGCTATGCTATTGGACAACCATGAGATAAATGCGAGAAGCCCTGAGATGGGGTCACTACATAGCAAGTAAGAGGTAAATAGCAAATCTATGTAAAATGTGATGTATTGCTAAATCAATATGCTGTGGATCACTTGCCAACCAATAAGCCTCTCCTGTATCCATTTATATTCCCTTATTTACCTACCTACTTCCCTGTCAGCTTTCACCTTTTCTCAGCCTCCTGACTGTTCACCCATTCCACCCCCCCTTACCCACCAAGTCACATATCCTCTCACCTCTCTCAAAACATGCTATTTTTTTTTTGAACATGTGTGTGTATGAGGTTAACTGTGTGGTATCCTGGTGTGCATTGATTGGTCCGTGGAAATATACACCTGAATGTATGTATCTATGTATGTGGAATATATATGTGTGTGTATGTATGTATGTATGTATGTATCCAGGTACAGATGTGAATGTGTCTGTCAAGGCTTTTCAAAATTACGATCATAGAGGTACAGCTGGAAGGGACCCCAGAAATAATCTACTCCAACCTCCTCATTTTACAGGTGAGGAAACTGAGGCCCGGAGAGGTTAAGTGACTGGGGACAGATGTCAGCATATATGAAGGGGGTCTTTGTAGTTATATGAATATGGGGGGATGGGGAGAGGTGTCTCTGTATAACCATGACTGTTATTAGCATATAACCAGAATAAGAATTATTTTTTAAATGGTGGATTTATTCTACAGGAAAGAGAAACAGCTATCAGGAAAACCTGCAGTTTTTAGAACTATAGGGAAAGGTTCTTAATTTTTTTTACTTTGAAAAGTATGATTTCCTCCTAGGGGGAAAGGCATAAATGCCTCTTTGGGCATAAGGAGGAGTGAAGAGATGTATCTCAGATTGAGAGCCATTTTGCCTTCATTCCCGTCTTGGGAAGAAATGTTGGTCTGAGTTTGTGGGCAAATGGCCATATCCACAAGTATGCTTGGAAGCCTTCCTTTGGGGAAGGAGGTTTGCCTGTGCCTAAAGAGTTTCTGAAGCCAAACTCCAATTCCTTGAGTAAGTAGAAATGTTCCAGATGGTGACAACTTGGCACAGATAATTCATTGCATTTTTTTTAAAGTCACAAAACCTTTGGGTTCAGGCCCCTAGATGCACCATCGTTTTTCCCTTCTTATTTATTCTATACTACCATTAATAGTTTTTCCACCTTATTAAAATGCTTTAATGATGGCTGGTGGAAGACTGGGGCATTGGAATGTTTTTTTTATTTTACCTGAGCCCCTAAGCTTTAGACTTTTCAAGACTTGAATACTTCTCAAATGTATTATGGGCTCCTGGGAACCAGGGAATCAGACTCTTCTGATTAGTTCTCTCCACTGATTCAGTCCTATATAGACAAGGCTACCTCTGACCTCCAGCCAACAAGCTATGTGTATTGAGTTGCTTTTTCAGACGTGGGGATAGATTTGTCCTGATTCATCTGATGTCCCTCTAACCTGAATCTGCTTGGGACAGCATGCTTACAGCTGGCTAGGATTAGGAAAAGAAGTCTGTTGTCATGACACTGAGCAAATGTAGCTGGCCCACAGGAGGATTAAATGACCAAGCTCCAGCCAGCTGAACTAAACATTGCAGTTCTTCATATGGAAATGTCCACAATTAGGCCAGTCACTTGCATCTTTGGGATTTGTAAGGACAATCTCAAACCCAGTCAGATTAGTATATATTTTGAAAGACATCTTGGGACTAGAATCTCTTTCCTACAAATTCCCAATCTAAGACCCTAGCCTCCCAAGGAGATTCAGGGTCAATGTCCTCCCAAGTAGAGCCCTCAAATCCTTTGCAGTTGTGTGACTTTGAATGAACATGAAGTACATCTGAGTTTATATACTATGAAATGCTGGTACAGTATAGGGACCCCTTTAACTCCTGTTCCCATCCTTCCTAGAATTTTTCTGACAACATTCCCATATAAGTGGATTAAAGGAGCTATTTTGACTGTTTTGACCCTATTTCTTCCTTACCTTTCCTCCTTTCCCAGTTTTGGTAGGAAAAGTTTCCCTTCCCAATTCACTTCCCCCAATCTGTCCCTAATTCTAGCCTGTGCATGGTATTTCCCATTAGGATCAGTCATTAATCATTTATTGAGCCCTCCTTAAGGAAGGCCAAAGAAGCCAATGTATCCCCTTAGAAACAATGAGGCAATTCCATTTGTTGCCCTCATCCAACACCACACTGACTTTTTAAAGGAAAATGATCTACCAGAAATAAAATGTGCCTATCTCCTGGCCAACCCTACCAAATCCCCAATTCACCTGACAAGTGTTACTGTTTCAGTTTGTTGAATGTCAACATAAATCCTAGGAGAAGGTCATTACCATACAGGGGCTTTCGTGGAACATTATTCCTATTTGGGGTACCCAGCCCCAGCTGGAAACCCCCTATTACTACTACCCCACTTACCTACATTTTATATGTCCCCAGAACTATTTCTGGGGCTCCCATTAGTTACCCAAATGCTGCAGATGGCCCTGCTGAGGGATTATTGAAAATTAAGACTAATCCTTCCTTTACCAGATATTTTATCTGCCACAAATTGCACTCTGTCATTTGAGCATACTCATCCCTAGATTGTTGGAGATGCTGTCAAAAAAAATGTTTGCCTTGAGTCTGCTAACCATCTATTTTGTGAAGAGGCCACTTTCATATATAAACTAATTTTTAGTGAGCATATGCATTATGGTCCAGAGACCTGAAACTAAAAGGCCACACATAACAGTCCAGATGTCATATTTAATGCTTGGGTGTGATACTCTTAAGTTGAATTCAGAATGGTAGAATCAGCTGCTTCTCTCAGGAATGGGTAGATTTACAGTCTTTTCCTACAAATGAGTTGTCCAGTAATTAGAAGATTTTCAGGTCTCTTAAGGGAGAGGAGTAAAGGAAGTCAAGTGGGTCATCCTCTTGTGAAAATCCTGATATACTTCTTGGTTTGTTTTGGAAGCCAAAGTGAAATTGCATTTCCTAGAAATTCCCATGGGACCTAAGTCCTATACTTAGGTGTCTCAATGGTCATACAGAAGGCTTTACCATCAAAGTCAGGTGATGAAATTGAGGTGATTATGGTACAGAGTGGAACATACTTTCCATACTCCCCTCAAACGGAATGCCTCTTTCTCGTCTAGGTAATATAGGGGATGTGACTATAAAAAATGATGAATATTTTTAA